GCATCGGCACGTCCACACCTGTAACTCGAGCAGCTGGAGCATCCAAGTAGTCGAAAGCCTCTGATTCCATCACCTTAAAAGTAAAAGCATGAAACAATTAACTTAAAAAGCGTGCGAGATCTTCGTAAAATTCGAAGAAACTTGTTAGGTTATTTCTGGGCATACTTAGCCAACAGTGTGCCTGGAAAGTTCTAGTGAGATGCAGCTATAACAACTAACACTTTTCAAAGACTAACCTGTGCGCAAACTTCTGCACCAATATTGTTCTGTGGCCAACCACCGTCAACAGTAATTAAATGATGAGTTTTAGCAACTGAATTTTTAACTGTTTCTATATCCAAAGGACGCAGCGTACGCAGGTTGATAACCTAAAAGTAATGAGAGCAAAAAAAAAGCAGAAAAATTTGAAGCTACGTCTCCAAAAAGCAAACGAAAGCAGCGCGAGCCATCCAACTCTTAAAAATAGCTAAACTGACTTCGATATCAATGCCCTCTTTAGCTAGCTGTTCAGCAGCTTCTAAAGCCAATTGCACTCCCTTACAATAAGCAACTACAGTAGCTTTGTCACCCGGCCGTTGTATTTTTGCTTTCCCAATGGGAATCACAAACTCATCTGACATGGCTTCCGCTGACATTGGGAATTCAGTACCGTATAATAGCTCATTCTCCAACAGAACAACTGGAAATAAATGCAGCTCAGCATCCAAAAGTAGTTCAACTCAAGTTTTATATTAACGCGGCTACAGCAAAGATGTTTTTTATCTGTTATAGAAAGCACTGTAAATGACAAGCGAAAACGAAAAATCCACGACACAAACCAGGATTATCATCACGAATTGCTGCTTTCAATAAACCTTTCGCATCTTCAGAATCATAGCAAGTCAAGACCTGAAAAGTGATACAGCTTTCAGTGGCAAAAAGCAGTAAACTGATTTCAAAAGTTTTTGCAAGCAACCACAGCTAACCTTCAAACCTGGGCAGTGAGAGTACCACGAAGAATAATCCTGACTATGTTGAGCAGCAACACCTGCAGCCGGTCCATTAGTTCCGCGGAAAACTATTGGTACATTAACCTTTAAAGAAACTTCGGCTAAGTAAACAGTATTCTCAGAATCTTATATGAAAATAAGCGACTGAAAAGGGCCTTGAATTTGCAGATAATCAGAAAAAAATAATCAAAATTTTTTTGAAATCGAGAAACAATCATCTGAACACTTACTCTGCCTGCAGACATATAGAATGTTTTCGCAGCACTATTAACAATTTGATCAATAGCTTGCATTGAAAAATTAAAAGTCATAAATTCGCATATAGGACGCAAACCACCCATAGCAGCACCGACGGCCAAACCAGCAAAACCCATTTCAGTAATTGGAGTATCCCAAACCCTTTTATCACCGAACTTCTTCCAAAGACCTTTCGACACCTGAATTCATCCAAAAAAGGTGCACAAATGAACACTGCGTTAAAAAAAAAAGCTCCACAAATAATTCTTTACTGATATTTTTTTGGCTTAGCAAGCTTTATTAATAAATTATCTTGACCATAATCTGACTGAAAATCAATGTAAAAAATTTCAAAGGCTGGATCTCACAGAAATGCTGATTAACTGTAGCAGAAATTTTATACTGCTACAAAAATGACATCTCACTGATTGGCTAAACATACAGATAACTAACAAACCGTATGGATCATATGTCGTCTTGATCAGGCTAACAGAGGGACTCATAGTTTATTCATTACAAAATTTTACCTTATATGCTCCATCATACTGCGCAACTTCTTCCCCGATCAAGAACACTCTTTCATCTCGTTTTATTTCTTCCTCCATTGCTGTACATAATGCCTCTCTTACAGTCATCTTTCCGGCAGCAGCGGTAGCTAGACATCGTTGACCCAAGTAGGAGTAGCTGCTAGTCGAAGCCCGTGCAGCAAGACGTCCAACAATATTTAGAGCCATCTTTGAAATTATCTAACTGATGGCTTTGGCAGCAACGATAGTTAAGTTTAGCTAGCAAAAATCAATATTATTTACATAACAGTAACAACTGGACACAAGAATTACAGTCGACGCTTCGAAAGTATTACAATAAATTAAGCAACTACTATCCATTGTCTAATAGACCAAACTTTGTCATAGAAAATAAAAAAAAGCACAAACTTTAAATAACTGGACAGAAGAAGACGTTACCCTAAACTAATAAATAAGTGCAAGCAAAGAGGACAAATAAGAAACGCCATAATGAACGACCGAAAGGTACAATAATATAGAAGAAACATGAGACGTTATTGTCGAACAAAAAGATTACATCTAAGTGAATGAAAAGCGACAGTAACAACTTGTAGTCTGTTAAACAGAAATAAACTTACAGTCATCAGCATCACCAATAATACCAGCATCAGTTAATTCCGAATCAACTGTAAAAAAGAGCTTGGCTTATTGGTTTAAGGCAAAGGTAGATGCGTTGTAACACATCCATCGATTGCACGTCAAATAAAACCGATAAAATGCGAAAGCAAAGTTGAGCGCATAAAATTCTGTTAAGAAGCAAAAACCAATAGACAGAAAAAAATCCAATAATTCATTCAAATTACTTCTTGTCACATCCACTGCTTCCTGCTCCACTTTCTTCGTCTTCAATGACAGCAAACATCTACCCTTATTTAAAAGACGCTTTTAGAATAGCACTCTTACAAGACGCAAGACCTAGGCAATTATGTTTAATGTCAACTAACATACTGGACGGCATTATGCTGTACGTGTATTTCCATTCAAGGTATAGTTAAAAATCTTAAATACTATTCG